ATTGACAGGTGGCTCCGGCCCCGACCACCGGGTCTGAAGGAGGAGAGAGGTGGGGGTGGGGGTGTGTGTGTGTGTGTGTGTGTGTGTGTGTGTGTGTGTGTGTGGGGGCGGGGTGACAGCAAAGACACCAACGACACTGAAGTAACGAACAGACGAACAAAAAGACAATCATGAAGATATTTAGTGACGGAGTACCACACCTCAATCTGAGGCTCCTGGACCTCAGAGTGGGGCCCCTGGACCTCAGAGTGGGGCCCCTGGACCTCAGAGTGGGGCCCCTGGACCTCAGAGTGGGGCTCCTGGACCTTAATCTGAGGCTCCTGGACCTCAGAGTGGGGCTCCTGGACCTCTAGTGGGGCTCCTGGACCTCAGAGTGGGGCTCCTGGACCTCAGAGTGGGGCCCCTGGACCTCAATCTGAGGCTCCTGGACCTCAGAGTGGGGCTCCTGGACCTCAGAGTGGGGCTCCTGGACCTCAGAGTGGGGCCCCTGGACCTCAATCTGAGGCTCCTGGACCTCAGAGTGGGGCCCCTGGACCTCAGAGTGGGGCTCCTGGACCTCTATAGGGGCTCCTGGACCTCAGAGTGGGGCTCCTGGACCTCAATCTGAGGCTCCTGGACCTCAGAGTGGGGCCCCTGGACCTCAGAGTGGGGCCCCTGCACCTCAGAGTGGGGCCCCTGGACCTCTAGTGGGGCTCCTGGACCTCAGAGTGGGGCTCCTGGACCTCAGAGTGGGGCCCCTGGACCTCAGAGTGGGGCCCCTGGACCTCAGAGTGGGGCCCCTGGACCTCTAGTGGGGCTCCTGGACCTCAGAGTGGGGCTCCTGGTCCTCTAGTGGGGCTCCTGGACCTCAGAGTGGGGCTCCTGGACCTCAGAGTGAGGCTCCTGGACCTCAGAGTGGGGCTCCTGGTCCTCAGAGTGGGGCCCCTGGACCTCTAGTGGGGCTCCTGGACCTCAGAGTGGGGCTCCTGGACCTCAGAGTGGGGCTCCTGGACCTCAGAGTGAGGCTCCTGGACCTCAGAGTGGGGCTCCTGGTCCTCAGAGTGGGGCCCCTGGACCTCTATAGGGGCTCCTGGACCTCAGAGTCGGGCCCCTGGACCTCTGGCGGGGTAAAGCGTCCTGTGTGATGTGTAACGAGGCGTTTAAGTCGATCACTGGGCGCTAATGAAGCGAGTGGCGGTTCCTCCTGCTCGGCTTTGATCACGGCTCTTGTCTCGTCTTTTAATAGACAGCAGAAGTGTGTTCTCCGCCGGGGGACTTCCTCCTCCGTCAGCTCCACATTTTCTTATATCAAAGAGCACAGCGGCGCCGCTCTACTTAGGGAACGGGGACTCCTGGAACTAATGTCGGGTAATTAGCTGTTTCTGCAGGGGCATTTTCGGCCGCGACTCCAGAAAATAATAACTTCTCAGGTGGGGGGCCTATTTCTTTGAGGCACTGAGCTCTAATCACGGGAGGTAATTATTCCCTGATTAACATGCTGGATCTGGGCGGATGTGCGCGCTAATCACAGAGCGGGCTGCGTCAGCGGCGGCGGCTCTCTGAGGAGGAAGCAGAAGGGGAGTGGGTGTTCTTCTGTCGCTCTAGTCCCGCGAGTCGCAGGAAGACGGGCGGCGAGATGTTGATGTGGGTTACGGAGACGAGGAGGAGCCGTCACATCTCTGAATCCTGCTCAGATGGTTTCATTAGTCTGCAGCAGACGGACTCGGATTTAGAAACATCAGGGTGAAAGGAAGAGAGTTAGGTTTTAGGACTTTTATTTTGAAAGGACAGGTGTGAAGGCCTACCTGAACACCTGTGGAGTCAACGCCATCCCACTGATAGTCATGATGCTCCATAATGGTCGATAACCTTTGACCCCCTGAGGGATTTCCTACCTGAGATTTCTATGAAAACTGACTGATCACCTGTCGTGAAGCTGCTGTCTGCTGATCTGTCCACGCTGGGACCGCTCCGTTCACATCTGTTTTTAAATAAAGTTTTTATTATTATTATTATTACTTTTTTTTCATTTCTCACTCTTTAGACGGGCTCAAAACTCCTAAAATTTGGCAGGCGGGTAGGGCCGGCTTAAATTCGAGTATTTTACCGTGTCCCTATATACTGTATATATATATATATATATAAAAATGACTCGCTAGCGCACCCTACAGTTTTCATGCTCACAGAGTTTCCTGTATAACTTCCCGTACACTGGTTCCACCTCCACAAGATTCTGTTAATTTGATAACAGCACTGGAAAATTTGACACCACACTTAAGTTCATATGATGTAGCGCCACCTGGTGGCAGAGGGGAACGAGTTTTTCGGTTAATGGCCTGTAACTCCTCCTTTATCGATGGGATGCAGCTGAGATTTGTTCAGGACACACCTGATAGGCTAGAAAATCAGTACCATGTTTCGTTAAACTGCGCCTAGGTGGCGCTATGAAATGTCTCCAGAAATATGCACAGAAAAAAACAAAACATGAAATCTGGTCCACAGATCAGGAGCAGCGTCCGTTTGAGCGCTTTAATGTCAACATGGAGATCCAACTAAAATTGGCTCCATAGCGCCCCCTACAAAATTTAAAAATGTAAGCCCTGCTCCTGTGTGTGACCCAAACTATGGAATCAATGACACTGAAGTTAGACCCCAAGACGAACGAAAAGGGAAGGCGGTCCACATACGTGGTATTATCATAATTATTATTATTATTATTATTATTATTATTTATTCTATTATTATTATTATTATGATTGTTATTATTATTATTATTATGATTATTATGATTATGATTGTTATTGTTATTATTATTACACAGTCAGCTCATACGGGAAAAACTATAAAGTACTTTTAAAACTTGTCTGACTGGGACACTTCATACGTGTGAAATAGAGAAAATAAACAGTCCTGATACCTGAGAGGTGAAACTCAGGGCAGAATCAGCCCGTCAGCAGCAGTCTCAGTTCTGGGTATAAAAACACGTTTAGGCTGGAAAAACCCAGACCCTGTTAGTCTCTGTGTTAGTCAGCTGTTGTTTCAGGAGCCAATCAGCTTCGAGCTGAGGGTGTCAGAGCGCCAAGAAGAAAACAAAGAAAATAAGCAGGTTTGAGCTCAGCGTTTGGATAAATCAGAAACGATGACTGACTGATGAAAACAAGGACGGAGGAATAAAAACATCGGATCAATAAGCGGCTGAAAAGATGCGTCCCGGGTGTGACGGCGGCCTGGACCCAGCTGACGCCGCTCGGCCACTTTGACGAGCAGCAAAACAAATCAGGCGTCCACTTAGGCCTCAGCGTGTCAGCGATCAGCGGTCTGCCGGGCCAAACGCCGCTCTGACCTGCATCAATCAGAGCGCCGGGGGAGATGGGAAATTTCAGCACATGGAGCGGGGTGGGGGTGGGGGGGAATAAATCTGGAGTCTATTTGAAATGATCAGTGTAATACAGAGGACGCCACGCAGAGCGGTGGCTGATCAAGTCTATCAGGGACAAGACGGCGCCTTCCACAAGGCCATCAGCCCCCCCGACAGGAAGTGGAGGTGAGCCGGGATCCCCCAAAGTGCAGCTCTCATCTCCGGCGTGTGTAAATATGAACAAACCGTCGGCGCAGAAAAACAGATTCCCACTCAGAGAGTGAGCGAGCGGCGAGCGAGCGGCGCTCTCGGTGGAAACGGGCCAATGAGAGATGAGCGAGCTAAATAAATGTAAACAGCGTGAGGAGGAGGATGTAAACAGAAGCTCAGAGGATGTAGACATGCTCCCGTGAAGCGAGGAGGCCTGATGGATTGTGGGAGCTGCTGCTGGTGTGAGCCGAGTAATGAGCTGTTCCAGTAATCCACCAACACCCCCCCCCTCCCCCCGAGAGAACCCAGTACTGATCTGAGACCAGCTGGGGGGGGGGGACCCTAAAACGAAGTCTGTTAGAGGTTCAGAACCAGCTCAGTATAAATACACCCTCTTATTTAATTCTTTAATCGTCACCATCATGTCAGTCAGCAGCTTCGCTCTCGTGGTTAATCGTTCCGCTCTCCAAGTTTAATCGTATGAGGAGAACCGTGTTACAGGAGCTCACAGTAAAAAAGCAGAAGATTTTATTTTAAAAGGACTTTAAAACAAAAATTTTAATGTTGTGAAGAATCACGATTTAAACCTTTAATTTTATTTATTATTATTAAATAATAATAATAATAATAATAATAACACAATTAATTTTATTGTGATTTTAAGTTTTTGGACCCCAGGAAGACGAGCAACCGCTTTGTGGAAGCTGGTGAGGTTCCAAATAAATAAACAAATAAAAACAAATAAAGAAAAAAAATAAACAAACAAATAAACAAACAATAAACAATAAATAAACAAATTGCTCCTCACTCCACCTATGAAGCTCCACCTGTTACCGCTAAGAGCTCGAACAAGCTAACATCCCACTAGATAAATTCTGTCCTCCTCTCCCTCTGTCCTCCTCTCTCCCTCTGTCCTCTGTCCTCCTCTCTCCCTCTGTCCTCTGTCCTCCTCCCTCCCTCTGTCCTCCTCTCTCCCTCTGTCCTCCTCTCTCCCTCTGTCCTCTGTCCTCCTCCCTCCCTCTGTCCTCCTCTCTCCCTCTGTCCTCCTCTCTCCCTCTGTCCTCCTCTCTCCCTCTGTCCTCCTCTCTCCCTCTGTCCTCTGTCCACCTCTCTCCCTCTGTCCTCCTCTCTCCCTCTGTCCTCTGTCCTCCTCTCTCCCTCTGTCCTCTGTCTTCCTCTCTCCCTCTGTCCTCCTCTCTCCCTCTGTCCTCTGTCCTCCTCCCTCCCTCTGTCCACCTCTCTCCCTCTGTCCTCCTCTGGTGGACAGGAAGTCTCGATGTCTCCTCTCTCTCCTCTCATGCTACAAATCTGCCGTCAAGAAATTAGTTTAACGTGTCTCCCCCTCCTTCTCCTCCCCCTCTCCTCTCCCCCTCTCCCTCTCTTCAGTCACTTAGTCGCCTAATAACTGAGCGCTCCGATCAGCAGGACGCCAACCGAGCGTTTGATCACTTTCACAGAGAGGAGGAGAGGGAGGAGAGAGCGAAGGGAGGGAGCGATAAATACTAGATTAAATATATAAAGAATCCCCCTCCTCCTCCTCCTCCTCTCCTCTCACCTCTGAATTATCTCCCCCTGCTCCTCCTCCTCCTCCCCCTGCTGTATAAAAAACATCAGACGGCCTCCTCACTCAGAGAGAAAAATCAATACAAATTACGATGGAGAAAGTGGCGCTGATGCCTGGAATTGCAGCATATGTTTACACTAAATCAGGCAATCTGTCTTCATATGGGCTGTAATGCATGGGGGGGGGGGGGGGGGGGGAGGTGATGGGGGAGGGGGGTCAGGGTTCGCACCGCCAGCCGCTGCTCTCCAATTACCCAGGCTCTTTGCAGAGAGGCAGCCGCTATCGATTGGCCGAGAGGAGCACAGGGCCCTGTCGGCAGCCAATGGGGCGCTGGGGTCAAAGTGCGGCGAGATTTTAATAAGGGGGGGTAATGGGCTTAATTTCTGCGGGTGGGGGGGGGGGGTCTTTGTGTCTTCCTCCTCCATCTTGTCCTCCAGAGACAAATCTGTCCGTCTGAGCAAAGACCCGTCCTGATTGGTCATGGTCGTTTTTTTTAATGAAACAGGAAATGACATCACTGTCAGATTTCCGTAAAAAACAGAAATATTTTAGAAATATTCGTTTGTGTTTTTTATGGATGACTTTATTCGAACGTTTTCACAGAGAGACAAAAAAAACAGTTAAAACATGAAACAAAAATAAAACACGAAACAAAAACATTCAAACGAGTCGAAGAAACGAGACATAAGAGGAGATTAAATACAGAGAAAAACACAGAATATACAGAAGTTATAGAGAAAAATAAAGAGTTTTTATAGAGAGAGAAAAAAGTGATGAAATGAGGAAAAAAAGTTTTAACATAAAAATATTTTTTATATATAAATAGTAAAAAAAGTGATTTTATTTTATGGGGTGGGACTCTGTTCTGAGTGTTTCTGTATGTTTGAAATTTGTGGAAAAAACTTCATGAACAAAGTAAAAAAAATAAAAATAAAAAGTTTTAATACAGAAAAATAAAAAGTGATGATAGAGCAGAATAAAGAGTTTTAATATAGTCATAAAAAAATTATAATATATAAAAATAAAAAGTTTACATATAAAATAAAGAGTTTTAATATAGAGTCAAAAAAATTATAATGTATAAAAATAAAAAGTGATGATAGAGGAGAATAAAGATTTTTAATATAGAGTCAAAAAAAAATTATAATGTATAAAAATAAAAAGTTTCCAAATAAAAAAATACAGTGTTTTGATAAAGAGAAAAAAAAGTGAAAATATGAATCAGACGAATTTTTGTCTGAAAAACTTTAGAGATTTTTGTTCCGATGAGTCCGACTGACGAAGATCAGGAGTTTAACTCTCTCTCTCCCTCTCTCTCTCCCTCTCTCTCTCTTTCTCCCCCCCCCCCCCAGTGTAAATGGGTTTTTTATTGAATCGCCGTATTTCCCATAGTGCCTTTCACTTGTTTTATAAGTTGGATGTATGTCGGCGGCGTCAGGAGGTTTGGGCGGCGTGCTGCGGCGTGCTGCTCGTGTCGTTATCTCTATTCATCCTTCGCCGCTCTGCGTCGCTCCAAAAAGTCTCTTTGGGATCCACAATGAATCCTCTTTCATCCACGCCACCACAGCTAATAGATTCAGGCCGCCGCCACCGCCACCGCCACCCCTCTCTGCTTCCTCCCAGGGAGGCGTGGAGGCAAGACATCCAACATGGCAGCAGCAGCAGGCCCTGCGGCGAGGGCCACGTCCCTCAGCGCTCTGTCACCCTTCAGATCTCATCCCCACCCCAGTCGCAGCCTGAAAGCCCTTTTTCTCCTCCGCTCCGCTTCAAACGCGCTCCGACAAATTTGATTTAGCGGCTCGCCGTCGCCCATTCCTGGGGAGAGAAAACAAATATTGTTATAATGGTAATAACATCTATTTGGAGCGCGGGCGACAAACGGCGGCGGCGGGGCCCTTTGAAGGAGACCCCTCTGTGCCGCGTATAGCCGCCTGATTCTTATTCATGAAAGCCGCGGTTATGCATATTAGCGCAAACTAGCTATTCTACTCAGCGGCGTTTGGAGTGTCAATCATCCTTACAGGAAACAAGAGCCAACGGTGACAAAGGCGAGCGCCACAGATCGGCTGACAAATTGTCCCCAAAGTCAAATTTGACAGCCTTTTATGATTAATGGGCTTGATTATGGAGAAGTGTCTCCCTCAACTCGTTTCCGGGAGTTTCTCCTGAGGAGGAGGAGGAGGAGTAGGAGGAGGAGGAGGAGGAGGAGGAAGGTTGAGTGTTTGAGTGAGTGGAGGAGAACAGAAACGAAAGGTTAGATTGAATTAGTGATGAAGGAAACGGCGGCGGCGGAGAGCGAGGAGGACGAATGGAGAGAGCGAGGAGGACTCTGACTTCATAACCAGGAGGAGGAGGAGGAGGAGGAGGAGGAGGAGCTCCTCCCGTTAATGAAGTCAGAGTCCTGGAGTCGTGGGTTAACCCTGAAGGTTCTGATCCGTGTTGGAAAGTTCTTCGTTCAGATTTTGACGGCGCTCATATCGACCCACAGATTATTTTAACTCTGAAACTGTCAGATTATCTTCATCTCCTAATCCGAGCAGGATTACAGCAGAGAGGACAGTCCTCAGATGTCTCCTTGATGTCTCCTTCAGTCCTGAGATGTCTCCTTGATGTCTCCTTCAGTCCTCAGATGTCTCCTTGATGTCTCCTTCAGTCCTCAGATGTCTCCTTGATGTCTCCTTCAGTCCTCAGATGTCTCCTTGATGTCTCCTTCAGTCCTCAGATGTCTCCTTGATGTCTCCTTCAGTCCTCAGACATCTCCTTCAGTCCTCAGATGTCTCCTTGATGTCTCCTTTAGTCCTCAGATGTCTCCTTGATGTCTCCTTCAGTCCTCAGATGTCTCCTCGATGTCTCCTTCAGTCCTCAGATGTCTCCTCGATGTCTCCTTCAGTCCTCAGATGTCTCCTTGATGTCTCCTTCAGTCCTCAGATGTCTCCTCGATGTCTCCTTCAGTCCTCAGATGTCTCCTTGATGTCTCCTTCAGTCCTCAGATGTCTCCTTGTTTCGGTCCGACTGAAAAGAACCAGAACAGAAACAGGAAACAACAAGAACCATAAACGCTCATGAGTCCGTTTGCTCCTCCCTCCTCCGTCATGTTTACGTCGGAGCGACAGACAGGCTGTCCTCTAAATCTGTGGGTCTGTTTACGGCGTGTTTTTTAGCCGGGTTTGGCCTGGAAGGTTCTGGACATCTGACACACTGATGAACGGAGTTTAGAACGCCGCTCTCAGACGCCAAAATGAGCGCGCTCAACACCAACACGTTCATACACAAATAAAGAACGACACGTTCACGTTCGCCTGAATTATGAACGAGTTCATGAACGATCGTTGGAGCACAACTCTGGAGCTGGGTTCTCAGAACCGGGTAGAACTTTGGACTGAATCCTGAAGAACACACTCCTGTAAGTCCGTCTACGGTGGCCCTCGAAGGACACTCGAGGTTCTAGTTCATGAACTCAAACAGACTCTGTGTTGGTTTTTGTCTCTCCTCAGATTCTGATCTTGGTTCTGATGTCACGGTCGGACCCGAGTCGGGGTCGGACCCGAGTCGGGGTCGGACCCGTGCTGAGTATCGTGGTCGCCGTAAACGCTCGTATTGACACGCCTCTTTTCTTTCCTTTCTCTGCAGCCTTGAACGAGCCGACCATCGACTACGGCTTCCAGAGGTTACAGAAGGTCATCCCTCGCCACCCCGGAGACCCCGAGAGGTTACCTAAGGTCAGTGCAGACCACTCATTAAGTTACCGCTGGAGTCAGAGGTCAGAGGTCAGGTTCAAGGACCAGGAAGAGAGACAGCAGGTTCTTCCCCGGCCGGGTGCACCTGTCAGTCAGCGCTCAGGTTACAGGCGGCGTGGCTGTTTGTCCCTCCGTGGATGCCGTAGACCACCTGCCCAGCGTGAATCCGAGCGCTCCTCTAATATTCGAGCTGCCTGATGTGATTTGTCGGTTCTGCTCAGGACGCTCTTGGCAGCGCCGGCGTCTCCTCGCTGCCAGCCGGCTGATTGTTCCCGATCCTTCAAACAGGAAACAGCTGTTCGGAGAAGAAAATCCTGCCGCCGCCGCCGCCGCTCGGCTTTGTTTTCCCTCAGCTGGCGAGGAGGAAGGTTTTGGACGGCGGCGGAGAGTAGCTGGCTGGGAGGCGGCGAGGAGGAAGCCGTGATGTTGGAGGAGAGACGGGGAGGTGCAGGGAGAGAGCTGATTGGCTCGTCAGCGTTTTTGGGTCCAGAAGGCGCTTAAAAAAAAAACGTCACGGTCGGGAAATCCAACTTTATTGATCCAGTCGTAACAACAAATCAAACGCCGAACACTTATTGATTTCACTTATTGACTTATTGAGTTTCACAGACGTACGATTTTCAGCATCAAGCGTCTCGTTATTATCCGAGTCTGTCACAGCCCGGTCTCTGTGACCTGGTCCAGAACTCTGTGACCTGGTCCAGAACTCTGGTCCAGATCTCTGTGACCTGGTCCAGAACTCTGGGACCTGGTCCAGAACTCTGGTCCAGAACTCTGGTCCAGAACTCTGAGACCTGGTCCAGAACTCTGGTCCAGAACTCTGTGACCTGGTCCAGAACTCTGGTCCAGAACTCTGTGACCTGGTCCAGAACTCTGGTCCAGAACTCTGCTCTGGTTCTGGTTGATGACCTCAGTCTTTCCTGGGTCTTCCTGAGTGACCGAACAGTTCTGACCCGTTTAAGAGTTTCTATTTCTGAGGGTCTGATGGTTATTAAAATCACAGACTGACCCTTTAATGTCTGTTTGTTTCAGTGAATAAAGACGTTTGTTTACACACACACACACACACACACTCACACACACACACTCACACACACACTCACACACACACACTCACACACACACACACACACACACACACACACACACACACACACACACACACACACACACACTCACACTCACACACACACACACACACACACACACACACACACACTCACACACACACTCACACACACACACACACTCACACTCACACA